ATCCCGTCTCCACCCAACCAACCACTAGATTAGGCCAAATTTGGCCTGATTCCGGCATCACCGAGACCCCTTGACCCCGCCATCAGATTCCTCACATCACCCACACCAAAACCCTTCTCAATCGTACGCCATTGCTCCCTCCTATCGCCAGCCAACTACCATTGCTCTTTTGCTCGATAACCCATTTTTAAAGCCAAATTCATGTCGATTTTGCCACCGGAAATTACCCCTGACACCACTATACGAACCACCATCCTCTCCTCAACAAAACCCACCCACGTACCCACCAATTGTCCCTAGTTGTTGTTTGCCGTTCGCAAGCTACCCTCATCCTCGCACGATAGTCGCGATTTGCAACCCAATTTGTTGTTTGTGGAGTTCGATTGGTAGGGAAATTTGTGGGAGATTGTTGTGTGATTGAGAAGTTTGTTTTGATTGTGTTTTGCTGGTGATTTTTCTGGCTTTCCATCATTCCCAAGCTTTACCCACAGCCTTCCCACCTTGACGCACACCAGCTGCTCAACCATTTGCCCCAACCAAAACCCAAGACTTTCCAGACATCACCACCCCACCGAGAACGGCTAGCGACTAGAAGAAACACGACAACAACCACCCAAACACTTAAAAAAGCAACACAAACAAATCGACACCAAATATCTGGTTGTTTTCAGATGGTTGGGGTCGCAAAATGCGACTGTCTCACGACAGTAATGACAGGTAACTTGACAAACGGCGAGATGGGAGGGCGAGTGGAGGTAGGGGTTTTGCTGAGTGGAGGGTGGGGGTTCGATTGGTGCCGTGGGGAAGAATTTTGGATGTCATGCGACTGGAAAAGGTCGTAAAGAAGGGAAAACGTGCGAAAACCCAATGGGCGTCCATCGACAATCGGTGAGAGCTGCGGCGGGTTAGGGGTCATATGGCTTTTGTTAAAGGTATTTGCATCTTCACAATGAATATTACTGTATTTAACTGAAATTATTAATGGAGTATAACGTTTGGGTATGAAAATGATATTTTAGAAGTTTATGAGTAGGAAAGTGTCATTTGTTAGATCATTATTTGAGTGAGAAAAAGTCGTTTGCTCCTAATTTAGCTGTGTTTGTGACATGTTTAACTTATTTAATCTGTCTATGACACTCTTAACTCGTTCATGACACATTTAAATTCCTATTTAACATAACTTCGACTCATTTAAATTGCTTTAGTTTTTTACTAAATTGTAACATCAATTAACCAGCACACGATCACAAAAAAATAACCAAAAAAAAAAAAAAATATGTAAAACTTAAAAATAATTCATAAACATGAAGAATAATAATAATCTTAAGTACAAAAGTCCAAAATACAAAATTGATAAACAATTTACAACTTTTCAATATTGTTTTACACTCTCCTAACAATAATGTTCAAATTGCAACATGTAATCTTAAAAAGTCTTCCATTTAATCAAAATCTAAGAGGTCAACTAGATATATTTCTTTTTAACAAGGTGAGAAAATCAGATATTTTCCAACCTACAAGCATAAGAAACTTTGCCTCAAGTTAGCTTTTAAGAAAATTTTGTAAGAAATTAGTTTATTTTATAATTTTATTAATTTTTATATTTGTTCTAGTAAAAATTGAAACGGAAATTTCTTTTGTCTATATAATGTATTATAGTCATTTACCTATTCACCCAAAAAAATAGTAAGAATTAATATTTTTAAATAGTTTTTGGATTAAACATTGAAAAGTTTAATTGTTGACACTCGCCTGTAATTATATTATGGAAAATACTACATCTACAACCCCTTCTTACAAATTTTCTCTCACAACTTTAACGTGGCAGCTCGTAATTGATCAGTTCATAATAAATCATACTTAAGTTTCACTCGATAAATTACGGTTGACTAATTGTAAGCTGTCATATCAAGGTTATGAGAAGAAGTTGTGAATGTAGTATTACTTTTATATTAGAAGAAACTTTTGTGGGATGGTTTGTGAAAGTAATCTTGTAAATGTTTTTTGTAGTCCACATGCCATATTATGATTGGCTGAAATTTTTATATCCTGTTGTCTTTTCTAACTTTTTAAACGTGTCAACTGGGCTTCTTCCGAGACTATTATTAAGTGTGGTTATACTGGAAGAAATGAAAATTCTATCTGCTGTTCATCATTTTATAAAAAATTTATAAGAAAATTTCGATGTAAATGAAAATTTGAGGGGACACGTGGCCCCTTTGTTTCTCCATGTTTCAGCCATATATAGCGTTTTATAATTCTAATAAACATGCAATATTTACTTTGTTTGAAGTCTGGCTTTTATTTGTGAGAGAGAAAATCAATAATTAAAGTGATGAAAGAAATTCTGTAGTTCGAAACTACGAATGATGCATGTATAATAATTATTTTGTTTTTCAAAAGACATCATTTAAAATAAAAAATTAATACCTTTAATTGTTATCTTCAAAATTGTCCAACGCCGTCGCTCCCTGTAGTGACTTTGTATGTAAATTTTTTTTGTATTGATCAGCTGGAAACCGCCATTAATGTTTTAATTATCCCTAATTATACCTTCATTACAACAATCCTAATAGTTAAGCTGATATTTCTCTAGAGTTAATTACACATATCTCTATTGAGGTTTAAACATGTCACAAGCAAATTGAAAAGATTATTAAGTTAACACAAACACCCCACTCCTTCAACTTTTGTTAGGACTCACTTAAGGCTATTTCCCTTACACCCCTTCTAACATACAAAAATGACAACTTACCACCCTTAATTAGTCACTTACACTCCTTAATTACTGTCACTTTAGTTTTTTTTTTTTCCTTTAAGAAGAGATCGTGGTTCAGACGATCTAAGAATGGTGGTTTCGACAATAAGAGATTGACATACACCTTCTTTGAAAAAAGTAATATTGAATCTTATAAGTATGTATTATTTTTAAAAACTTTTTCTAGATATTTTTTTATTGTTTTGAAATATTTAATTTTATAATTCTTCTTATTTTAAAATATAAGGTCTTTTTATCCCTTTCCTTTAGTTAATTTTAACACCAAAAATTGGTGGTAGGGTTGTCAGTAGAGCTGAGCCGCTCACGAGCCAGCTCGGCATGGGTCGTTAAAAACTCGGGCTTGGCTCGAGACTATATGAGCCAAGCTGGCTCAAGACTATCTGAGTCGAGCCGGCTCACGAGAGACTCGCAATGAGCCATGAGTCGAGTTCGAGTGACCCCCGGCTCGGCTCGACCAAGCTTGCGAGCTATCAATGGCTTGATTGGATTATAAGGTGTGATTTACAGGTATTGGGGGTGTTAGTAATTTGACATGTAAAACTTTTAAAAAATGACAATCAACCCCCAATTCCCAATTAATCAAAAAATCAATCAAAGTCTGCTTCATTCGCGCAAAACACATTTCTTAGAACACTAACCCCTAATTTTGTTCATCAAAATTTATGTATAAAAAGCTCATCTCTGCTAATCTTGTATCTTCAATATTCATAATTAGAAAATCAAAATCAAAATTAAAATAATGGTTGTGTTGAGGAAGAAGAAGATGATGTGTTGAGGAAGAAGATGAAGATGAAGAAGATGGACATGGAAGTAGCGTGGCAACTCGAAAAGTTCTACAAGTGCAAGAATGATGTGTTAAGGAAGAAGAAGATGATGATGATGAAGAAACGAGAGTAGGAGGAACTTCCATTTCCATGACGATGACGATGATGATGACGATGAAGAAATGGAGATAAAGATGAAGATGAAGAAGATGGAGATAAAGACGAAGAAAAGAAGGTTTTGATCAGTTGATTCTCTTTATAGATTGACAAAGTCAATGGAGTGGTAGCAAAAACAAGAGCTGACTTGATTGTACATGACTCGGCTCGAGCTCGTTAGCCAACTCATGTACACTTTCAAGTCGAGTCTTGAGCCATGTTTTCCTGGCTTGACAGGCTCGAGAATCGACTCGAGGTCGCCAATGGGTTCACCGAGTTTGACTCATTTAGGGCAAAAGTCAGCTTAACTCAACTCATTTACAGCCCTAGGTGTACGTGGTTAATTATGGGTGTAACATGTTAGTTTTTTTTTATCTTAAAGGGGTGTAAGTGAAACAAATCCTAACAGAAGTTAAAGAAATTGAGTGTTTGTGTAAACCTAATGATATTTTCTATGCCTCTATGAAATGTGGAAACCTCAGAGGGGGGTTTGATAATTAACCTTATCTCTTTATTATAAAAAATGGTTTATTTCAATTTTATCTATGAGATTGTTTGATATTAACTCATTTATTTCATTTAGAAAATATTAAAAACATATTTGCAATTAAAAAAAAAAAAACACCAACTTACAAAATTATAAGAACCGCTGATATGGGATTGTTGTAATACTTTCCATTGAAATTGATGAGTTCATATACTAACCGATTTCACAAAGAAAAATATGAAATAAACCCTTATAAGGGAAAAAAAATCAAAACATATCAATTAATAAAATAAAATACAAAATGATCCCGGCCTTTCCTTCTTGTCACAGTGATTGATGTTTTCAAAAGGGATACAAAATTACAAATAATGAGTGCATGCTCATTATTTCTATTAAAAGTAACGCTAGGTTCACAATTTAATCTCACAACTCTCAATGTGATAACTCTCAATTGGTTAATTTGTAAACAGGCAGTTGGGACCTATAGCAAGTAAGACGAACTTATTTACAAACTGACTAATTACGAATTACCACATCACGGATTGTGAAATTTGATTGTGAACCTAATATTACTTTTTTATTAATTATGTGTATCCTTTGTGAATTCTGAACCAACCAGAACAAACCGGGCACAATGAGCTTTATTCCAAATTCCACCCTTTTCATAATTCGATTATTTTAAATATCTTATCACCAAAGAATAAAGTGTACTGTTAGCTTATCTACGTTACTATTGAATATATACTGTTGGTTTCTATCTACTGGTACCTTCAAGAACCTCCTTCGTCACCTATATAATATAATTAAACCATCCAAAGCAAATAAGAATATCTATGAGATATCATATCATACACTTTAATTAATTAATAATAAGGCCAATCACTTATCCTAATAACTCCATCATTGTAAGAGATCACAGCGAGAACGATCAGATGGGCAAGGCGCATACGATTGGTATTGGCATGGACTACTCTCCAAACAGCAAATCAGCCCTTCGATGGGCTGCTGATAATCTGGTCGACGCTGGAGATCGTCTCATTTTAATCCACGTTCAGCCACCAACGGCCGATCATACCAGGAAGCAGCTTTTCGAGGACACTGGATCACGTACGTGTATATACTTATAAATCTGCATGCTTTAGAATGTAGATCTTTCATTAATAATTTGTTGAATTTGCAGCTCTTGTTCCTCTGGAGGAATTCAGGGAGATTAATTTTTCAAGGCAATACGGGCTTACTTCTGATGCTGAAGTTCTGGATATTCTAGATACGTTATCGAGAACCAAAGGGGTAAATTAAATAATAAGATTAGGTGTTGTATATGACTGAAATTTGAGAAATTAAGATATACTAATTTACTAATTTTGAAGCAGGTAAAGGTGGTGGCAAAGGTTTATTGGGGGGATCCAAGGGAGAAATTGTGCGATGCTGTGGAAGATCTGAAGCTTGACACACTTGTTGTTGGAAGCAGAGGTCTCGGTGCTCTCAAAAGGTAAATTTTTTTTTTTTTTTTTTAAAGTATATTTTATCAAACTTCTTAATTTTACACTGAATTATACAGGGTATTGATTGGTAGTGTGAGCAATTATGTGGTGACAAACGCTTCATGTCCAGTTACAGTGGTGAAGGGAACGCCTGTTTCTAAACCCTAATTGAAGCTATTATCTCTCTATCTGCAAAGATTTTGAAGGTTGCCATATTATTTGTCCATGTCTTATGCATTTGAATGGAGTGAAAATGTTTGGTTTCATAAGCCTTTGTAAATTTATTTTTTTTGAGCTTTATTGGATGTAATTGATGATTATTGTGTTATTATTGTACATATGCCTTTCTTGTATTAATTAGTAGTCTTTAATTACATGGCTTCATGCTCCTTTATTTCCAAATGGAAATTAAATACGCATGGGATGATCAGAAAGGACCCGCATGATCTTGAGATTTTCTGTTGTAATATTTTTATTAAATTTTGAATTATTTGTCCCCATATCAATAATTGATATAATTAATCAGGAACAAAAGTGCGTCAAATTGATACTTTTCACAGTAAAAATGATATATTTAATTTAATATAATCCCTCAGTATTACTGAAATATTTTCTTGGTCAAGTTAAGTAAAAAATAATATTAGTGATTTCTCAGTTTTTTAATTTATTTTAAGCTGTTATTTAACTTTATCAATCAAGTCAAATCCTAAAAAAAAAAAAATTATTTTCATAAATTATATGATAAATTATTAATTTTCTAGTACTTAATACCACGGGGTTGATTTAATAATATTATGCCTGAAAAATACAGGGTTGATGTAAGGCCCAGTTAGCGTGCAAAAGTTAGAGTCTGGGTACACCCATTGCCGAGTCACGTAAGGAAGGGGGCAGCCTTCTTCTGTCAGGACAGTAGGTGCGTGCCAGACCAGCCAGAAGCTGTGGTGATCCCACATGTCTAATCCCTGCTCCAAATCGCGTAAATCACTCTAGAAGGTGGGCAATGTGACATAAAAAAGGATTTGCACGGATAATCCTACCAACTTACAAATTCAGTAATCATTAGCTCAATGTATCCCATTATAAATTGAGAGCTCATTTCTCATTCAAGGGATTCGCTCATTTTTTACTCTTGATTAGCTACTCTCTCTCTATAATTTATAGCATTCACTCGCTTGTACTATCATTTGTAAGTCAGTCAACTAACGCGACCTGACCTCTATCATTAATAAAATAACAGTGGACGTAGGACTTGCTTCCTTAGCATCCGAACCACTTTAAAAACGCTTCTCTCATTGTATTTATTCTCTTTTTCTTGCATTCACGTCTGTCTTTTGAGTCAGCTCAGTATTTCACACATGCGTTTCGTTGGTGTAAAGATCACGCATCAACAAATAACACGCTGATTAAGGTTTACTGAAGTACGCACTCAATTGAAGATAAATAATACATATTCAATCAGGCTTGACAAATTAAATGTGGGTTTTTTTTTTAAAAAAAAAAAATTATCAGGCTCATCATGTTCTACTCAACTGTCTAGTGAAGTTTAAGATATTCATCATTTATCACTTGCCAATTGTTAACCGAGGTAATCAGTAATCACAACCACCACCCTGGAAGTTTAACTTTTAACCGGCTAATTACCACCACCCCTGAGTTTTCACTTTTAAAGGTTAATCACAACCACCAGGTCCACTACCTTTGTGTAAGATTATTAAGTGTTTCTGCTTTGAGAGAATGCCTTACTTTTAATAAACGAGAAACACGGCTTAAATAGCCTTTCTAACGTTTGTGAAACAAAAAGATAAACCCATGACTAACAACTCTTAATTTCATGGGATTCTTCTAAGGAAACGTTCAAACACAAAGACTCATTCAAACACTAATCTAGCTTCCTCAATAAGAGGGATTATTCAACTGAAGCAAACAACATGCTGAAACATATATCTTCACATCCTCTTTTAAACTAAATCAAATTAAGTATTCAGTTTACACATGAACTTGAACAAACTCCAAACGGATTTCGCATTGTTAGAAAAGCTTCCAGTTTTAGTGGTTTTATGAATATATCAACAAGCCGCTCTTGACTTTTGCAAGGACTTAACTTTACCACTCATTCCTTGGTGAGATCACGAAGAAAATGAAATCGGATATCTATGTTTTTGCGCCTCCCATGCATCATAGGATTCTTGGACAACTTAATTGTTGAGCTATTATCACAGAAAATTTGAGTAGCTTCATGTTGAGGACAACATAACTCTTCAAGTAATCTCCTCATCCAAACCGCCTGACATGCACACAAAGCTGCAGCTATAAACTCTGCTTAAGTATTTGATAGAGTGACCACATGTTGCTTTTTTGATAACCAAGCCACAGCCGTTGAACTAAACATAAAAGCATACCCTGAAGTACTCTTTCGATCGTCTAAGTCACCACCATAGTCATTGTCACTGTATCCCACCAAATTTGCTTCTGATTTTCTTTTATAGAGCAATCCAAAACTCTATTTGAAGTGAGTGTTATCGACAATCCCTTTTAGATAACGCAAAACTCTTTTTGCTGCTTGGAAATGTAGCTCTGTAGGTGAATCCATAAATCTGCTAATGAGGCTCACTACAAACATTAAGTCGGGTCATGTGTTGTTAGATACATTTCCACACAATATGTATGAAGTGAGTGCTATCAACCTTTATCCCATCAACATCTTTGGTAAGCTTGGTTCCTGGCACAATCGGAGTTTGTACAGAATTGTAGTTGCCCATTTGGAATCTCTCAAGCACTTCTTGAGCATACTTCTTATGCCCAATGAAGATCCCACTCACTGTTTGATTCACTTCAATACCTAGGAAATAGTGCATCTTCCCTAGGTCCGTCATCTCAAACTCAATCATCTTGGAGTTCTTAAATTCATCACATTTCCTCATCATTTCAAATATATATAAGATCATCCACATAAAGACATATCATCAAGATTTTACCTCTTTTTCCATGCTTGATGAACAAGGTGTGTTCATATTAACACTTCTTGAAACTCGCCTTCGAGAAGTAAGTTTCTGTACAGCTGTACCAAGCTCTAGGAGCTTGTTTCAGTCCATATAAAGCCTTTTTTAATCTAAATACCTTTTGCTCTTTTCCCTTCTATACATATCCTGGAGGTTGGTTTACAAACACCGGCTCATTCAGTTCTCCATACAAGAAAGCTGATTTTACATCGAGCTGGTAGATATGCCAGTTGTTTTGAGCTGCCAAGGATATCACTAATCGAATTGTATCGTGTCTTGCTATAGGTGCAAACACTTCTGCATAGTTTACTCCATACTTTTATGTGTGGCCCTTAGCCACCAATTTGGCTTTGTACTTGTCTATCTCTCCATTTTTTTTTTAGCTTTGTCTTGTATATCCATTTCACTCCAATGGTTTTTTCCTCTACTGGCAAATCAGTAAGTTCCCAAGTATTGTTTTTCACAATTGCTACAATTTTTGAATCCATGGCCCTCCTCCATTTTGAGCTTCTCACAGCATCATTAAAGGTGATCGGATCATTGTCAGCAAACAAAGTGAGTTGAGCAGAATTTCCATCATCGGATAACTCATCACCACTCACATAATCTGTCAACCATACTGGAGTTCTCCTTAATCTTGGTTCTTTGGTTCTATGCTCGCTTGAGTTGTCTTTAGATGACTCATTTTCTGACTTTGTGTCTGCTGAAGATTCATTTTCTAATGAAGCACTTTCTGATGCTACTAATATGATGTCTTCAACTGAGCTTTTTTTTTAGTATGATCAAAATCAACAACAATCTTTTTTCCTCCATCTGTCCACTCCAAACATTTCTCTTCATCAAAGACCACATCTCTATTGATTACAATCATTTTGGTAACTGGATTATATAGCTTGTAAGCCTTGGATTCCTTACTAATTCCGAGCATGACACATTTTATGCTTTTGTCATCAAGTTTGCTCCGTAAATTATCATTCACATGAGCATATGCTAAGCAACCAAATACTTTGAAATGAGAAACCCTTGGTTTGTTTACACTCCATGCCTCTTCTAGAGTGACATCTTTCACTACAAATGTTGGGCATCTATTTAGAATGTGAACACTTTCATCCTTGCAAGCATGCAACACACCATATTCATACTGGTGCGATTTTTCTTTTCTAAAACACAATTTTGCTGTGGTGTATAAGCTGAAGGTAATTGCCTATGAATACCATTCACTTCACAAAAAATATTAAATTCTTGTTAAGTGAAATCTCCTCCACGATTAGTGCAAAATGCTTTAATAAACACCCCAGTTTCTTTTTCAACAGTAGCTTTAAAATTCTTAAAATAGGTTATAGCTTTAGACTTTTCAGATAAAAAATATCCAAATCTTTCTATTGAAATCATCAATAAAGGTTATGAAGTACCTCTTGTCGCTGTTGGAGATGGATTTAATAAGGCCACAAATATTCAAGTGAACTAGTTGAAGTTTATGAGAGGCCCTCCAAGTGCTCTTCTGAGGAAATGTTTCACGATGTTGCTTTCTAATCATACATTCTTCACAGACCCTTGAGGGAGCTTCCAACTGAGGTAGTCCAGTCACCATGCCTTTTTGTTTCAAGGTCTTTAATCCAATGAAATTTAGATGTCCATACCTAAAGTGCCACAACCAGCTATCATCTTGAATGGTTGATTTGAGGCATTTTGCACTATCACATGAGCGTTTTGCTTACAATGGAAACATACGATTTGATGTCATCTCAACTTTCATAAGCAAACCCTTCTCAGGATGATAAATTTGACATGTGTTCTTTTGCATGAGAACAACAAATCCCTTTTCTTGCAATTGGCCAAGACTAAGGAGATTGCTCTTCAAATCTGGTATATAGAACACTCTATAGATAGAGTGCATAACTCCATTCACTTCAATCTTGATGTCTCCTTTTCCAGCTCCATTCACTTCAATCTCAATGTCTCCTTTTCCTTTGACACCTAAACTGGAATTGTTCCCCACTTTCACTTTTTCTCTAAATGTTTCATCAAGATTTGAAAACAACTCTTTATTTGCACTCATGTGGTTACTGCAACCAGAATCAAGATACCATAGTTTGTTAAAGTGATCGTCTTTTATGTTTACATAAGACATCAGAAACATTTCTTCTTTAGCATTAGTGAAATTTGCCTTAGTTTCCTTCTCCTTTTAAGGGCATTCATAAGCAAAATGCCCAACTCATGACAATTGTAGCACTCAACAGTAGCCATGTCAATTCTTCCTTTTCTTCTTCCACGTTCTCTATATCCTCCTCGGCCTCGACCTCACCTAGTGAGTGATTCTCCCTATTGACTTTCAAGCCTTGTTCTTCCATCACATGACCCATAATTCTTTGCTCATGCACAAGCAAATTGCTCTGCAATTCATCAATCAAAAGATTATCTATCTAATTTGATTCCTGGATAGAGCAAACCACATAATCATACTTCGGTGTCATTGATCTCAAAATCATCTCAATGATCACCACATCTCCCATCTGTTCTCCATGAATTCTCATCTTGTTAGCCACTGTCAATGTTCTTGCAAAATAGTCATTGACTAATTCTCCCACCTTCATGTGGAGCAATTCAAACTCTTTACAAAGAGCCTGCAATTGTGCACTCTTGACTCTAGCCATGCCTTGGTACTTCTTCTTCATCGAATCCCAAATGTCTTTTGCTGAGTCTTTCAAAATAGTCTCTAGTATGGGTCGATCTATAGTTTGAAACAGATAATTCTAGTCTTCAAGTCTTTTAGCTTCTGTTCTTCTAGAGCTTTGGTTTGGACATCAGTTAATACAATTTCGTCAGGATATTGTGTGATTCCACTTTCTACAAGACTCTAGTACTCCTTAGACTTCAAGAGATTCTCCATTAGCATGCTCCAATGGTTATAATGGCAATCAAATCATGGGATAGCCGGTTATACGAAGTTACTTCCCTCTCTTGCCATTGACACTTATTGCTTCTTTGTTGGTCAGGTCCTGTGTGGTGGCTCTAATACGAAATGTAAGATTATTAAGTGTTTCTGCTTTGAAAGAATTTCTTACTTTTAATAAAGGAGAAACATGGCTTAAATAGCCTTCAAAACGTTTGTGAAACAGAAAGATAAACCCATGACTAACAACTCCTAATTTCATGGGATACTTCTAAGGAAACGTTCAAACACAAAGACTCGTTCAAACACTAATCTAGTTTCCTCAATAAGAGGGATTATTCAACCAAAGCAAACAACCTACTGAAACAAATATCTTCACACTTTGAGGTTTCACTTTTAATAGGTTATTGCAACCACCACCGTTAAGGCTTTAGAAAGTGAAACCTAAATTTTGACTTTAGGAATATATACAAAAACTACTCATGGTTGTGACATCGTCACGATTTTTGTTAGTGACGAAGGGTAAATTTGTCTTTTCATTCAATTTCCATAAAAAAATATAATTAATTAATATCTGTAAAAATTAAAAATTAAAAAGAACATGGATCACAATCGTTGATGTTAGACGTGAGTGAATACGAAATACTGAGACCAAAAATCAAAGATGTATCTGGAAAAACGATGGCAAGAGTTGAACCTGATGATGCTGAAAACAGGATAAACATTTCTTGTATAGACATGTTGACAGATTGAAAGAGTGGGAATGAGGAAATGAGCAGAAAGAAATGATGATGAGAATTTTAAAAGCAGTAGTAGGAGTTACAAAAGCAATCCAAGAAAAAAGCTGAGGTCTTGATAAAGTGATCATGTCACATTTGATAGATTAAGTATATAATGTAATTGGGACTTCTTTTGTGAAAATGCTTTATCTTTATTGATGAATGCCAACACAAATAAATATAATATTAAACAACAATTAATACAAAGCAGTGAACAATCAAGTTGAACCTTTGAGTTTATGAACAATCAAGTTGAATGGTTGGCATATGAAAGATGATGAAATTATATAATGTGTAACATTAATAGTTCGATCTACTTTTATATTTGAAAATCTTTATTTAAAAAAAAAATAATAATGAAACTATGAAATTTCGAATCAATTATAGTTTTCAAACTATTAGATTTTTTATTACTGTTTTAAATGTATAAAATAAGTATAACACATGTTTATGTTTGGCCTGGTAATAGGACTATTCTCCATTTAATTTTAGTAAATTTTTCATTAATTTTATAACAAGAAAAATGTAGATGTGAGTATGTGTCATGATCGGGGGCTATCCTCTATCTCGCCACTTCGGCTCAAGGGCTTTCCCCGTGCGTCGGACACGTCCAACATATTGTTCGCTATGGGTCCTTCTGACCATGCCTCCTTTGGACCCTCACGGCTTTGCTTTGCTTCGTGGTCTTTTTTCCACCTTGCGTACGCCTCCCCCATGACTTGAACCTTGGACTTATACCTTGGCCAAGTAACATGAGTACCATTGGGCTATATTCGCAAGATGGAAAAAAGACCACGAAGCGAAGCAAAGCCGTGAGGGTCTGAAGGAGGCGTGGCCAGAAGGACCCATAGCAAACAATACCTTGGACGTGTCTAGCACATGGGGAAAGCCCTTGAGCCCGAAGGTGGCAAGATAGAGGATAGCTCCCAGTCATGACAGTATGTCTGACGGAATCCCCAAAATAACTTTTATGTTGTTTGATATAGTAATCCTAAAATTAATTGGATTATCATGTTCTCAATTATTAAACAAACAAATTGTTTGAATGGACTGTGTGAACAGATGTTTGTTTTGAGAAGTGGACCAGAGGTTAATGATTTTAAAGAAATATATGAATCCTATATTGTGAGAAAAGTTTTAGTTGATAATGTCAAACTTGAAATTTATTATAAGTTACAAAAATTACGGAAGGTTGGTATAAATTTTAAGTTTAAATAGTTGATCTCAATATTATTCATGTAATATTAAATATCATGCACAATTTGCTACGAAATACTGACATCGAATGTCAAAAACATGTTTGTAAATATAGTATTAATTGTACAAGTGGATGATGCTAAAAATATAATTAGAACATTTTTATACAAACATATTAAGGGCATCACAAAAGAGGAAAAGAACTATAAAAGCGATCCAACAGAAACAACTTAACATTGCAATATTCATGTAAAAAAGCTAACCAAATGTTTTTTAAGTTCACATAAAAACTATAAAAAACAATCCAAAAGAAACAACATAGAAATTTTCATAAAGTGTTCCTTTCATATTGAATAGATTAAATACACAAACGAATTGGGTCTTCATTTTTAGATATTTTTTATGTTGCTCAATGGGCGTCTAGCCCTGCGACGAGGTTGATGCTCATGCGTTGGTTGAGAGGATACTTGACTATATCTTGAACTTCTGTTGAATTTGCTGGCAAGACCGTGTTCTTCCTTTTGTTCATCAAATCCAGACATAATCCAATGTACTTCTCTGTTTGCAAGCAAACAAAGTAAACACAATTTTTCTGATCTTCTCAAGTATTCAAATTCATTTCACCAATTTCATATATAAAATATAGTTTGTGGAAATGACATATTATTTTGCTATAAAAATATTGTGAGTTTATAAAAGTTTGTAGAAGTCATACTACTTCAAGTTTTCCATATGCATTTTGTAACTTCAAAGCCAATTGATGATTTTCTTCTATTAAGGTTTCAACCTGAGTTGGAGTGAAAAGAAAATCATTAAAATCATTAACAGTACTTAAATAGATATAGGATTTGAAATCATCTAGAGAAGCGAATCATATTCTACCAGAGTCTCTACACCTTCTGTTGGGATTCGAAGCACAAGTCTATATATCTGGATTGTTGATTTTTGATTACATTTATTAAATGGTCAACTTTCCTTTCAAAATTTCAATCGTATTACTTGGTTCAGCCTGTTTCATCTACTGAGGTGATTGCAGTTCGACTTCTTGGTCGCTATCAGTGAAAACCACCGATTCTATCACACGTTGAACATTGTCATTGTGAGTATGCACAACTGTTCCTTGGAGTCTTGCAGAGCATCTACTAGGACCCCTACCAACTTTCTTCCGTTTAGTTCTCGCTGATAAATTCTTTGCATTTTCTTTCCTCTCAGTTTGTGATTCTACCATCTTTGCTAATTGTTTCGTCTTTTCCATTCTACCAAGATTACACAACAAAGCAGACCAAATATGAAACTGAAATATATTAACAAGAAAAACAAACAGAAAACAAAAAATTTCGTTATCTCAAACATGTAAATTCTGAAATAAGAAATTTCTCTATAAAAGTAGTTGTAACAATTTTTTTTATATTTCTTCCCTTTTTGTGACCCTATAACTATTAATTTCTTATGAATACTAAACCTAGGTTTTTGTTTTTAATAACGCTTCATCCAAATTTTTTTATAGGTGTTATAATTGCATAGAAATGACTTCAATCCATAGGAATGCCTATCAAATACAACTATATACTATAATATTAAACAAATTTTAATGATAAAATACACAAACAACCAGATGAAACTACTACCAAAAATAAAGAATAGAATTGAAAAAAGGGATGAGATATACAATAACTGAATCGGCAATGTAGAAGATGTCGACACGAAAGCTTTAGACACTTTGGAAGAAAATCAGCACCAACATGAGAGAAAGTCGAAACGATTACACTGACAGCATGTTGGACAGAGAATGGGCGTGAACACAGCTTAAAGAAATAGAATATGTGTTAAATAAATTAAAAAAAAAAAACGCAGATAAATGAATATATTAATGAAACATAAATGATTATTAATCCACCGACTGTAGAAAACCGGTTGGATCAATGTTTTTGAAATAACGTGTGTATTTTTTAATAAAATAATATTTAATTTTTTAGGAATACCTAGAACAACATTACTGTTAAATATTCCAAAAATTTGGTGAAATATATTTAATTCAAATAATATTTAATTTTTTAGATACTCTGACAGTGACTAACCAATCATCTCTTGATTCATCAATATCTTTAAGAAAAGTATTAGACATTGTTATGAATTGCCTAGCAAAAAGAGATTCATTCTTAATACAATTCATTAAAAGCAATAAAGATTCCCAGCTGAGATTTTACAACTAAAGCGAATGTCGTTGTATCACAATTATAAATAAATAACATAATGTTTCGATTTTATAATTAGTAATTAATAAAAAAAATGGGATTTGAATTAATCACCGAATACAAGTGCATTGCATTGGCATTCCAAAGATGTGCATTAATAACAAGTATACAGGTGCATTGCATTGGCATTCCAAAGATGTGCATTAATAACAAGTATACATGTGTATTGGATTGCTATTACTAACTGTGGTTTAATCACATTTGTCTAGGATTGCTATCTATAATTATGTAGGTGCATTGTAACATAAATGGAACACAAAACTAAAATGTCATTAGTAATTTAACAAACTATTTACCTGGTTAATATAAAACCATCAACCATATTAAAATAACAAATTGATTTGACATACGATTTCATATTAGTTAAGTTTGATAATGTTTATAAACATTATATCATTCATTGAACAATAACATTCTTACCATTGGTCTACTGAAGAAATTGTTATGGTAATATCAAGCTGTAACCACTGTATGAAACATTAGACTTTAACTAAATATATATTATTGTTTCTTTTGAAACTATCTGAACATTTTTTTTTATCATTATACTT